CACTCATTGTGGGCGAGAGGGTGTGTCGCCTCTGCTGCTGCTGCTGTTGCTGTTGGGGTGTTTCGCGGTAAAGACGAATAGTTTCCACGAGTTTTTCAATGAGCAGCAAGAAATGGTTCCCAACCTCTCAAAATTTGTACCAGCATCCGTTAGGTCACGAGGATCACGAAAATATACTTATTTTTCCATTTGGATGTCGTGGTGATGACTTTTTTTGATGAATTAGTGGCCAAAATTGGGTGAAAATCGCGTCTGCGGGCCCCCCGAACAAGTTGCAAACGCCTCCGAATCGTATATAATTTCAGGTTAGGGTAATGTTGTGTTGTACATCAAGGATCCGTCGTCTGAATTTCGATCAGGATCGATGAGGCCGTGATACAGCTACGCACTGATATATATGCGCGAAAGCAGGGATAACCTGGAATTACTAGGAATTACACTGAAATATCCCCCCTCCCGCAACACTTTCTAAATGTTGATTCAATCTCTCCTGACTTCGAATTCGGGCAATTTTGGGGTGGGGATCACAAATATATTGTTGGAATGTCCCAGTTTTGATTTGCAATGGACTTTCAGCTGCTCAAAAGCTGACAGTAGCTGAGCAATTTCAAAATTCCTGGGATTTTGGATTCTCGGTTCCCACGTCGAGTTTTTGTCTGATCAACTTTCTGAGTGGCTCTACCCCCTCTAAGTCGGCCAAGCGGAATCGATTGCCGAGGAGAAATGGAGGCGCCGAAATCGGCAACGCGGTGAAAAAAAACAATCAAGGCGATCCGATCACATTTGTTTTTGTTTCTCTTTTTTTTATGCTTCTAAACGTCGTTTTAGACATGTATCCAAAAACGGTTTTTCATTCGAGTTTTTCCTCGCCGCGGAAGAGACAATTCGTCTTTACCGCGGAACACCCCTGTTATCTAAAACGGTGGCGGAAGCGTCCTGTTCAAACAATCAGCAGCAGCAGCAGCACAAGCCGGGGAATTTTTCAACGTTTTTTTTCCTCTCTTCTAGCTGATGACGATGGATAGCACCCTTCCCCTCACGGCTGACGGTGGATATCACCCCCCTCTCTAGCCGATGATGGACACCACCCATCTCTAGCGAATGACGATGGATACCACCCCCCTCTCGAGCTGGTGATGGTGATGATGGACCGCCCCCCGTTCTTCTGCAACAGACGCACGAGCCTACTGCAGGTACTTTTGTGCAACCACCACAAAAACTATTCCACCTCCAACTCTAGTACTTCTTCATATATTAACGCATACGGAGTGCTGACAACAACGATTCCCATCAACAACATCGCATCAACAACATTTCGGGGGTGTGTACCAAAACAAAAGCAACACATATTCACGGGGGCGCACGACCCAGCCTACTGCAGGTATTTTCCGCAGCACGGGTTATTCTGTTGTGATGGTGCGCGCGGAAAAAACTCCCCCCACTCGGGGTCTAGTATAGTCTAACTTTGTTAACTTTGTTACGCTTCTTTTGGTTGGGCTACTGGTGGCGTAAGCAGACTTGTGTACACGTGTGACATAATACTAGCCTGGGTACTGGTGTAGTGTAGCTACAAAACAACAGCTTATGAATATTCGNTTTTCCGCAGCACGGGTTATTCTGTTGTGATGGTGCGCGCGGAAAAAACTCCCCCCACTCGGGGTCTAGTATAGTCTAACTTTGTTAACTTTGTTACGCTTCTTTTGGTTGGGCTACTGGTGGCGTAAGCAGACTTGTGTACACGTGTGACATAATACTAGCCTGGGTACTGGTGTAGTGTAGCTACAAAACAACAGCTTATGAATATTCGAAAATATAGACTATACCCCGAAAACGGAACCAAACCACCCTTGGACAGCAGTCTCTTCGATCCGACATTCTACAGTAGTAGTAGTAGTGACCATCTGGTGGTCGTCGTCATCAAACCACGGGAGGGAAACTGGAATATGTCGGTTCAAAGTCAAAACGTCAAACAAACCACATGCAGGTACAAAGTACCTGTGTCTGATCACCCGTGAACACGAGCGGCACGTCTGCGCGCAGAACCGCGCCTGCAGCCACGACGAAGCGGGCGCTGGTGAAAGTGGCCCCGCTCCCGACGAACTTGAGCTTGTTTTGCCCGACTTCAACCGTCGTCCATTCGTCGCAAGCGATGTCGGCTTCCACGATGTTGGCCTCGATGTCTCCTCCTGAGAGAGCGTCAGCAGCCGTCAGAAGGTCGGCGCAGCTGGCTGCGGGGAGCAAACCCACAGTCGAGGTGCAGGAGAGAGAAAGGGAGAGCGTTCAGCACACACAAAACATGCTTGTAGAATAAGGTATTGTCTAACGGACCAAGCTTGCACGGACGGGTAAATAAACTTCTCATTCTTTCTGCGTGGGAGGTACATGAAATTAACCTGTATGTTGATAAAGCGGTAGCTTCTGGGGAAAAGTAGTTGAATTAAAGAGACCCTTGTCAGGAGAGACTGGTCAGAAAGTGGAGTGA